ACATCCACTGAGAATGGACTTCAGTGAAGTGAAGTAGGAGACATCTTGTGTCTAGCAGGAAAACTTTAGAAATTAACAACATTTGCATATTCAGAGATTCTGGAAGTTAGGTAGAAGAAGTAGAAGCCCTTTTAAGCATTTTAATGTGGAAATTATACTGTTTTGGTGGGAAAAACATGCTAGACACACAGTAATTCTCTTGTAAAACTTGCTTCAATTTGTGTTTCCTTTTACAGGCTATGTAGTGGAGATGTGTGATTTAGCACATTGAAGTGAGAGAATGAAGCATTTAATTTTCAAATGATGAAATCTTAAAGATCCCCCTGATATGTTCAAGATATATAAAAGAATATGTTTATTTAGAGAAAAGAATTATGTTTATTAAAAATGTGTGTCCAATATGTTTTTTTTTCCACAAATAGAGTTATATCACTTAGTTAAATAAACTCTTAAACCTTGCATCTGTTCCTTCTTGTGGAATAGATCGATCTCATTGACTTATATGAACATGCAAATATTGCTCAGTTTAAAAGTTGAAGTACAGGACACACAAAATGTTCCCTATTTCACAGTCTACATTCTCAGTCTTTGTTTCAAGGAAGTTTCAAAATCCCACATTCCCACAAACTGCAAGTCGCATTTTGGACCACAGTTGGATACAAACTAGTCCATCCACAAACTGAGATTACAGGTGAGGACAGGGGAACTTTCCTCCTTCAGTGCATAAATGTTAAAACACTGCTCTAGTGTTGAGGATACAATGAGAGAAAGGAACAAAGGAAAAATAAGCAAAACACATTTTCTAGTGGAGGGGGACTTTAAAGTTTGTAGAATTACTACCCTACCCTACTAGAACCTACAAAAAGTTTTTTTAGTTGTCGTGGATGTGCCTTAAAGCTGCCACATAGAAATAAATTTAAAAAATCAAGGGAAAACAGTTCAATAGACCTTAAAATTGTCCTTTAGAAAAAAATACAAGGAATTCGAGTTATGACCTTCCATACTTTAATTTAACTTTTATTTAGTGTAATTAGAACATGAAGAAATGACTTGACTGCCAGTTATTTGAGATACAGGATTCTCCCACAATATTACTAATGATAATATGCTCTCAAAGATCCACATTGAGTATCTTTAAAGTGTCTTTTGACACTGTGGAAAACTCACATTTAATATTCCTTCTTCTTTCCAAACGCAAAAGCAGCTTTAGGTGCAAAGCAGTATCATGATATTATCATATTATCATTATCATGATAGGCTCCTACAGTCTCATGATCTCTTCTTAACATTAACTCCATCTTCTATAATATTTACACTATGCATCACACTGCACAAAGATGTACATATACACCTCTACTAATTTCCTCCCCAAAAACCAAGCGTACGTACCATTTTTCGAGTTACAAACACTTTGTCCTGTGCTTTCTCCAAGGCACTCAGCTGTCTGCCTAAATGCTGTGAAGTGCCTGATGTTGATTTCCAGATCTCCCACATCTTCTCTCTTGTGTTCACTCTGTCTTTCTCTCGTCTGTTTCTGTGTTTCTCCCCCTCACTCTCTCTGCAAAATCTGCCTTGTTCTCTTTAGTCTCAAGCTTTGGTGCACTCTTCAAGAAAAGACACAGCTATCATTCAGGGGGCGGGTTTCAGTGAAACATCATCAATGCCTCTACAGAAAGCTACAGTCCAAGGTCCTACTGCGTTTAACCCAATGACTCTGGATGCTCAGTATCAGTGACACTGGTAATGATTCCATCCCTACTTGTTTGCAGCATGTACAGTTATTAATGTGGCTATTGAGAGCAATAAAGTTTTGATCTCAGACTCTGTACATTCAAATTGAACTACCTTCAACTACCTACTGTACAGATAATACACAATTCATTATTTCCCCACCAGAATTTTAGTCCTAGCTGCGTGGAGAGAATAAAGAGCAAGTAAGTCACAGTCTATCTGCTCAATGTTATAAATCTCTCTAGGCACAAGTTTGGAAAAATATGGCACTTTATACCATGTGAAATGTATTTTAAGTGACACACAGCTTAGCGCTCATATTTGCAATGTTGCTGTAAGCTGCTGCTATTTTAGTATGCTACAGTCCTCTATTGTCCTTTATCCTACTTAAAATATGCAGTCCACGCTCCTGACAAAAGATGTGTTTTTTTCTTCTCTGTCCTCGTTTTAAGTGACTAAGAAACCAGCACTATAAATCTACTTAGCATAAGGACCAGAAACAGGGGAAAACAGCTAGCATAGGTTTGTCTGAAGGTAACAAAATCCACCATGAGCAGTTTAAAAACTCACCAATTAACATTTGAGTAATTGTGCCGGGACCCAAAATATTTCAGCACATAACCCACTGTAAAATCCAATTTGTCAATTTTACACTCTGGTTTTTCTACGGAACAACTGAATTATAATGTTTTAATATGTGAGTTGTTGGTAGGCAGATTTAGTTTCCTTCCGGCTGAGCCAGGCTTACTGTTTCCCCCTGTTTCCAGTCTAAATTCTATGCTAAGCTAACTGGCTGCTGGCTGTAGCTTCATATTTAATAAACAGATTTGAGAGCAGTGCCAATCTTGTATGTATAAGTGTATGAGATTATTACTCAAAATGTAAGTCCTTTAATTGTTTGACCAACTATAGGGAGGCTGGCTTTTACAGAGCTCTCTGACACTGATGATACATGGACACAGTCCATTTATTCCCACACACAACAGATTTTACAGACCAGATGATATTTAAATTATACACAGCTCACTCAATGTCCTTATATACACTCATAAACATATAAAAAACAAAGAAACAGGCCATCACGAGTGGCCTTAGGTGAGTGCATACATGCAGCTCTATCTTTGTGTGTGTCAGTTTTAACACCATCAGCAGCAGGTGGCCAGCTGGCACAGAATGGAGGAAACACCTCCACCTGGCGCTCAAACGCAACCTCCCACACCACAGACATAGTTCTGTTCTCTGTGAGGGCTGAGAGGAAGTACTGACCAGACTGAACCGTCATTAGCCAACTAGCAGTAAGAAGGTGACTGGCGTAGGAGAGGGATCTGCTACACGCACACTTTGAGTTCACAGCTGTATGTGTATTTGAGCAGAAGAAAATTGTCATTTCTGATCACGACCTTAACAGGAATGTTACTAGTTCAGTGTTTGTGATATCAGGTCTTTTTCCCACGCCAAATAGGTTATTCAAACACCGCGCCAGGATAAGCACAGAGGAGATGTGACTTATCTTGTGACTTTGTTCAAAGGCTGATAGCAACTACAGTTATCAAGGTTCTATTAAAATAACAGTATTAGGTTGTTTGAAAGCCAGTGATGTGTGAGTGACATGGCTGTTCTGTGGGCCCACAGAAGGTGTTATGTCATTAATCAGTTAACGTGTGTTTGGTTTAACTACTAATGTATTTAAGTGTTTGTGTTCAGTTGTGTCACATGAAGCCCAAGTGATTCAATTTGAATAGATTGAAAGGTTAGAATATCATAATTTCTCTCAGTATCTGCCTTAAATCCTCTCTGTCCTCCATTTTCTCTTGCTGACCCACTTCCACTTCTTCCTACCTCTGCTTTTGTTCTATTCATTAAACCTTTCACATGGCGTCATGCAGCAGCCAGCTAATCTCATCAAAGAAAGAAAGTCCTCTCTGTCAGTCAGGTTTAGGGCTGACAAGATATTATCCAGCCCCTTTACTTATTTGTTTTGTACTACAGGCGAAAAAGTTTGAAAATCTACAAATTAGTTCATAATAAATCTCATAAGATGAATGAAATGGCACATCTCTTTCTCACAATACTGCCGATTCTTTAGATATGTTTTTGAGCTGCTTTATCTCCTTGTGATATCATCCCAAAGATCAAAGTGAACTGTATTTAAATCTTGATAGACTGAAAATTGGAGAGTAGGAATTATTTTCTTAAAGATTCTTGAGAGTGGATCAGATAACCAATACATTCTTTCTCTTTTCCAATTTTTACAGTTTTACTAAATAATTTTCTAAAAAACACTGAATGGATTTCATAATGACAGGTGGAAATATTTAACCAGTTGTTCTGTCTATTCTATACTATATGTACTATAGCTCCATTTAAAGGAATGGTAGGGCTGGGTTTTATCATGTGGGGCTCAAGTCAGCACATTAAAGATTCCACTGCCAACGCAGGACTTCTTTTTCTAAGCTGACATGTTCTTTAGATGATAAGAAACCAGTCAGAATCAAAACTGACAACCATTACTAAAGATCATCTAAGCCCAAAACTTGAATCTTATCTTATCAGAATTTTCACTGGCTCCGTACCATTACAGCGACTCTCCTGACCCCGTCCTCAAACTCAGCCTCCTCATGCTCACGGACACCCTGGGTCAGGTTGGTGTAGTTGGCCAGCTTGTTGAGAAGGGATGATACCATGGGGTTACTGTCCATTTCCTCCTACATAGAGATGGATAGGAAAGCACAAATGAAACAAACCATGCACATTCTGTTCCATCAACACACTTTCATACATCCATACAGCAGTGTGGAAGCCACCAGGGGGTGCCGCTGCAAATTCGAGGGAAGGGAACATTGTTGAATGTTGTAAAACTGACAAACAATGCTTATAAACGAAAACAGAAATATTGACTTTAACGGAAAGTTTTTTTTGTCTTGACTTTTGTGTCACCAACTCAATATAATGTACATTTATGAATAAGTAATTGTATTATTAAATATTAATATAAATATAAATATCATACAACATGCAATGATATAATCTTTAAAGCAAATCAGTTATTTAGTTCAAATAGTGAACATTTAGAGGAGAAAAACCATTTTGTCTTACCTCAAACAGGGCCATGTTCTTGCCTTCGTAATAGGGTTCTCTGTCATTGTCTGACTTGATGAATGGACTGGACTCTCTCTGACTGTCATCTCCTAGTGGGATACACAGGAAAACATCCATACTGTAAGATTTACACTCTTAATAGAACAACAAAAGAACAGGGGCAGCAGCATCACCAGGTACTGTTCTTGTATCTGTGACAGCTGATGTCTGCTAAGTCGAGACTCGTCGGTACCTGTGGAACCCATTTTCATTCAGATATCTCGAGGCGTCAGGGGTACAAGGGCCTTTGAAAAGCCCATAGCCAGTTATTTCCTCACCAAAAAAAATTTTGCCTAACCCTTTGAGCATTATTTAGCCCCCCCCTGTCGACAATATTCTAGCATACCCAATGCTTGGTACAAAAGGGAGTATTTAGGCATCAGAGTTTAGAATAGAGCCAGTAATCTTCACCAGTTACTATAGTGCAGCTTTAAACACGAGCCCCCCGCTAGCAGCCTCTGAAAGAGCAAGTGAAAGAGGGCAAGAAATAAAATGGGGTGGGAGGGTCAATCAATTTCAAGTGCCAGTGCCACCCCCAGACCCCCCTCTAAAAAGCCCCTGGGAGAATATGGAACAGGACATGTAAAAAGAGGATGATAATGAAAACCCCCCCAATCCCCAAACTGATGATTCAATCAGTATCAATGCTCCCCCAGTCTCGTTAGCTAAAATGGTTTCTCTCCACCTGACTGAAAGGTAATAGGGGCCAACATTGGCCGTCGAACAACCACTGTAAACTACCTCCACTGACTACCATAAATTCATTGTTGATAACTGGCAGCAGATAAAAATCGACACTCACTAGCTAAACTCCCTGCTAAATGTTACACTTACTTTACAAAAATTGGTCAAAAACAGCAAAACGTTTAGCTAAAACATGCTACATTAGTCAAAGTATTTTAGCTATTTTGTCAGACCTGACCTATAATGATTTCATTGTTGAGAAAAAATAGATAATAACAACCAGATCAACATATCAAATAAAATAATCAAGAACCGAACTTTTGATAGTTTGAAGATTCATTTAAAAAATACTTAAGATATTACATGTTGTTAGCATTATGTGGTAACTGTGAATAATTGGCCCCCTACTAATTGAAAATTCATGACAAGGGGTGCTTCAAAAAGATCAAAAGATTATCGATTTGATCTTTTGCTTATTGACCAAAGTGAACCATCCCAACATGTGGCACACACTTATAAAAGAGAGTAGGCGCTCATACTACCCAGAAACAAGGGTTCGAAACTTTTTTCCTTAAGACCCTATGTCTACACGGAGTAAACTGCGACCCCAAGTATTAGTCCCTTTTAACTTTCTATAAAAAATCCTGTCTTATTAATCGTGTTTTTCAAAATCATTTTATAATCATACAGTTTAATAGGCTCCTTTTTGACAACATTTTTTTTTATTTTTTCCCTGACGCCTGGGACCCCATTATGTTCTAATTAGACAAATACTTTACATTAACTTTTCTTCTACCAGAAAAGTGAACCAAAATGCCTGAATATCCAGGCATACTGTGTATATTTTAAAATTGTCTTACAAAAGACCCTCCAAAGCCAAGTCCTGATGACCCCCCAACAGAAGCCTGAATTGACAAAACCTCTAGTGAGGGATCCCAACCCCACCAGGTGTGAAACCATGCCAAACTACTTATAAATGAGATTGTTTGTTTGTGATATGGGGCGTCCACCGACCCAGCCAGAGCCCTTGAACAGAAACCAGGAGACGCAGTTGAAGGACAAATTATAAAGTAACTTATTAGAACATATAACAACCTAAATAGCAACCCGAAAAAAGAACTAAACAGAAATGAGGGGTTTGTCCAGTAACACCAGGTAGTGAAAAGTGTGTGTGCACTGAGTAGTGATGATAAAATAAGAAAGTAAATGTTGGGTGTGTATAACACAATACTCTGAATACAAGCTAATGAAATAAGAAAGAAGGAGAAGAGAGAGACCCACCCCATCCAGCCAGAAGCCTGGGACCCTTTATAACTAGGAAAACACCAGGCCCGCAGGTGCCCTTACCGGCTATGCCGATTGGTCCAACCCCCAAGTACCTGCTGCCTTAAAAGGAAGAGGAAACATTAATGCCACTCAGGGGACCGTCACATGGTCCAATACAGTTTATAGAGAATCAAAGACTTCAGTTTTTGGCAGACAAATAAAGGCTCTGCCCACAGTTTAGCCTTTCGCTACAATCAGCTTTTGTACACACCCCTGAAAAGACAAAGCAGCATAATATGTGCCTCTTAAGCTGCTTCTTAATTTGGTTTCTCTTGCCCCTGGTTGTCATGCAGCGGTCTCAGTTTATTAGGTTTGGCATGTTATCACACTAGATCACACTGTTGTCTTTATTGCCTTGAACAACCCAAGGCCTAACAGTGGATCAGGGATCACTGAAGAGCAGTTAATAAGAAGAACAGTGTACTGTGGATGCACAAGACATAGTGAGGATTGTGACAAAATGTAGCATGCAATAATGAGCAATAATGGACTCCGGGCCAAAACCACAGTCCTTCAAAATAACTAAAAGAACCTTTCTATAAAATATAAAATCCCCAGTGTGCAGAGGTAAAGGTCAGGGTAGCTCTGTTATCAGTATTAGCTTTGTGGCATTCTGCCTGCCACTTTGTATCCATCCTAAGCTGTTGATTGGATTGTTATGGGAATATGAATGATGCAAGGGAATACATTAGACTGAACAAAGCAAATAAGGAAGTAGGAGAACTTCTGCCTTTGTCACATATAATGGTTGAATACAGTCTATATCACAGATAGTTTGTAACAAGTACATTTAATCAAAAAGAACTAGATACAGTACGTCTAATCCCAGCATCAGTGATACTGTATTTCTATAGTATCTGTAATACAATAGAAACAAACAGTAAAGAAACACAACATCAAGTCAGCTGTAATAAACTATGTCACATTGATGCATATTCCATACGTTAGCTATATTTATAAATAGAGATAGATTACCTTTGAATGTCTACCTCAGTGATGAAATACTATCAGGATTCATGATGTGGTGTGAAAACAATAATGAAGTTGTCATACACAAGCAAACTTGCTATTATTAGATGCTTAAGCACTCTGGTGCATCGTAGGCTAATTAAAGGGCTGAAGAAGAAATGTGCCTCTCTACCTTGTACACTGTATTTCTGCCAGCAAATCATACAATTAATGTGAAAACATTTTAAAGCCAGGAACTCAAACTGCTGGGGGATGCTCATTATTGACCTACTTGGCAGACTGCAGGCATGATGTGTACAAATCTCTGGTGGTTATACTGTCCCTGCCCCCCTCGTCCCTATCTGTGTACCCCCTGTTCTCCTCCACTCTCTCTCACACCCCAACTGGTCGAGGGAGATGACCACCCACCTAGAGCCGGGGTCTATCCTAGGTTTCTGCCTCTTAAAAGGAAGTTTTTCCTTGCCGCCGTCGCCAAGTGCTTGCTCATGGTGGTACTGTTGGGTCTTTGTAAGTCATCTTATAAGGAGTTCGGTCTAGACCTGCTCTATTTTGAAAATTGTCCTGAGATAACTTCTGTTATGAATTGGCGCTATACAAACAACATTGAATTGAATTGAACTGCCTGTGTGTCCCTCTGTCTCCTCTGCTTAGACTCTGTCTGTTCCACTCCTCTTTTCTTTCTTTATCCAATAAACTCTGTGTGCTCATATTTAGCAGTGTGCAGAAGTACAACAAAGAGCACACACAGACTGAATTTAGCATGGTCCCTTGAGACAAAGGCACAGTTATCTGTTGGACTCTGGAGACTAACACACAAATATGTATAACTGTATGTGCGTGGACTTCATTGAACATTTCTTAATGCTAACCTTGACCTTCAAAACTACCTGATCCTTAACAAAACTCCCATTAACAAAAGCCATGTCCTACCTTCATTCTCATCCTAAATTAATTGTTATTGCAACAACAATGATGGAAAATGGCAGAGAGAATGATGAAATATGACCTTTATGAAAACAAAACATGTACAAGCACACACTAAAAACCTCAGGAGGTTGTTTCACAAAACCTAAAGATTTTCCAGTTATCCTGGCTGAATTTAGTCGTGACTCGGTTTCACAAAAGCAGCGACATGTAAGAAAAATTTGAGCCTTGCTTTTTCAGTTATCCTGGATTTATTGATTCTGCTTTTGTGAAACAGTGGTGTGCACAGAAGAGATTGTCTTTTATCAGTGAGTGACTGTAACAACGTCACACAGTTCTGTCATTTGCTTACACAAAATCCCACATTTTGAAAACCTTCCCATGCAGTAATCATGTTAACCACCAGATGTCCATATTCCTGTATGTGCAAAAGCAAGGTGTATAGAGGCTCAGTTCACTGACTGCATCACATTATGTACAGTACAGACTCGTATAACATGCTGCTCAATGATTAACCTACATCACTGCAGGATACTAAGATGAATTGGGTGAATGTGTTTGTTATCACTGAATGTTCCCACCTAATTGAGATTCTGCAGAATGGTTCTATTTGTCCAGTTGAAGTAAAGTGAGTAATATCCTAGTTGTCTGCCAGAAGCGCTGAAGGTGTTTCTGAGTCATAAAAGTTTGTTCTTTTGTATCTCTTTTGTTTTTGGTTTCCTTTGGTATAAAGCACGAAAGTCCAGTTGGGTTGGTAAAGTTGTATAATGGGTCTAATAAAAGTAATACAATGAAGTCAAAGGTTATAGAATTAACGTACTCTGTGACAAACTAACCCGAACCACGCACACCCTCTACAATTCAGTGAGTGCCTAAGTGTGAAACCGGCTCATTGAGGCAATACAGAAGTGACAATCAAACTAAACAAAAGTCACAGGCAACTTAACTAAAAATACACTTCCAGCAGGATGGCAGCCTGTGGCGGTTGGCCCACCCCACCAGGCTAATACAAAGGAAACAATGCTACATATGATTAATATCCTTTTCCTCTGGACAGTTGCTACAAGTGCTCAGTGTTAAATGCCCAGGGGAAAGGACATGATCATCAAAGAATGGAACTAATAGCCCTTAAAGGTCCAGTGTGGAGGCCCTGTGTAGAGATAGTGTTTGGGTTGTCTGATATTACCATGGGTTATTGTAGAAACATGATGGTTCAACATGCAGCTGCTCTCTTTGTAGTTAAAAGCGGCTTATAAAGTAACAAAAACATAACAATTCTTATACTCAGGTGGTTATACACTTCTGAAACCTACCTATGAGTATTACATTACATTACATTTCGGCTAATAGAGCCTCCTAAATGACACACACCTTTAAATCCTTACCTTCTGTCTTGTTCCCCATGCTTTCTTTTTGTCCGTCTGTGTTTGATC